TTTTTATTCAAATTTAATTATAAATAAGCATAAATATTAATATAAAATTATGAGATATTAGAATTACGACAATCCTAAATATGATTTTTTTATGTCATACTTTGATCTTATCGAGTCCATTAATACCTGTCTTTAGGTGTAGTTTAGATGTGAAGATAAATCATATTATATATGGGTGCACTCAGTAGAATAAACATTGATTAACAAAATCTACTCTATACATCACACTGATTTTATATTTTAAGATCTAAATATAAATATTTAAAGATACATCTGAGAATAAAAAATTTAGTTTTATCTTATACTCTTAAAACATGATACATCTAATCAGACCAAACCATAACAAAAATATATTCTTTTGGGTGCGATAATCCTCAAAATTGACCGGTGATGGAAGATAATGGAAATTAGTGGGGTCGTGCCCCCAAAAATTTTAAAAATTATAATTTAAACCTTCAAAATTCTTAATTCAAACCTCTAAATTTATTTAAAAAAATCAAGATATTCTCTCAAATTTCATCACCAAGTTTCGTCACCGAAATGGACACTGTGTTTATTTCGTGATTTCTTGCAAGAGTTGGACTCACCTGAAATTTATTGTTTTGTCGAAAGTTTTTGGAGGGAGGATATTAGTGGCACACCCAAGTTGTGGTGTGGAAAGTGGATGGTCTTATCCGAAGGGTAACCGATAAAGAAGAGTGGGGACCAGAGTTCCAAGTTGGTACAACACTAGGCAAAAGATTGTCCATGTTTTATCTTTTGGGACCTTCCAAGTTGTGGTGAGGCATATCCATTAGCCTTTTGGCATCTGTGGCTAGTGTAAACGGGGAATGAACAATTGCGACAAATATGCAAACAGAAACCCTTTGCAACTAGGTTTCTCCCGGGGCTCTACAGGCAACTAACTGCCCTACAGGTTCTTGTCACTTCTATTTGGACACCTTTGTCCATAAAATGACCAGATACAAAGCTATGCTTTTATTGCTGATTCTTCCCAAGGGTAAAAAACAAGTAGCTGTGCAACTTGCAGACGACCCTTCCTAAATCACGTCTAGTTAATATATATATATATATATATATATATGATGTAAGATTTACCTACATAGATTTAAGATCGTTGGATGATTAAAAATAGATAGCATAGATTGACTCATTTATTTTTTTTAGTGAATATCTTCACATTTTCTACTGTTAATCTAAGTTATATATTTGTATTCATCCAACAGAACTAAATTTGTGTAAAACTAAAAGAGTTTTACATTGTGTAACACGATCTCATCCTTATACATATATTATACTAACAACTTAAGGTTTAATATTTACTTTTAATGCTATTCTCTGTTGATATCCTAAGTTCGAGGAATTAAGTCTGTAGAATATATATGTGTTATCAATAATTAAAAATTATTATAAACATATAATATCTTATACTCACTTCAAAACTATTAAAAATATTTAACTTGAATGATTGTGATTAGCTTTTAAATAATTTTATAGATAATAATAATAAACATTGAGGTCACAACATTAAGAAAAGATAACAGTTGCTATTGATTGTAGTTCCCCAATCCATTAAGTTTTCCATCCAATCCAATATCCATAAAATATCAAACGAATTAATGCCCCCACCCCCAATTTGCCCACTTGCATTATTTTTTTAATTTATTTCTTTTAAATATTATTAATATGGTTATCGGCGCGAGTTATGTAATATTTTTTATTGTCTTTTCGATTACAAAGTTTTATCTTGATTGATTCGAATCAATTCATATCGTACATTTGATTTTAGTGGATAAATCTTCCGGTACGTATCGTATATTTGATTTTAGTGGATAAATCTTCTAGTACTATAAATATAAAGAGTTAAACCCGAAACTTTATTTAAACGATATTAAGTTATTTATTATTTGAATCAACATGATTAATATACAATATTGGTTTTTATATTACATAACACTTCATTAGAAGATTATAGTTAATGAGTGATACTTCCTACTAACACGTTATTTCACTTCATTTTTTTTACTTCCATTTCCCACTCGTTACCAATTATCTATCTCACTTTTTTTTTCATTTCCCTTCTATAAATAGTTTCTCTCTCTCTCTATCTTAATCCATCCCGTTATTAGTTTAATTTTTTACTTTCCATATTTCATTTTTCATTGCTCTAGACATTTGATCAAAGCCAAGCATTACATCATTAGTCGCATAAAATGAACGAGATTAGTCTCTGTGAATTCAGCCTTTCTCACCAATATCCTCGACCTTCGAGCTTTACATGTCTCAGCTCTTGCCTGACGGAACACTGGGGTGATTTGCCCTTGAAAGTCGATGACTCCGAGGACATGCTCATCTACAACTCCCTTCACGAAGCTCTCAATTTCGGTTGGTCTCCGTTAAGTTCAACGGTACCGACTGCCGTTAAAGACGAGCCTGAAGAGGTGATGACGCCGGTTACCCTAGTGAACACAATAGGGTCGATTCCGATGTCATTTGGAAGTGCTTTCATGGGAATAAGAAGCGAAAACTGAGCTGAGTGCTTCCGAAATGGGAACCAAAAGGTGATCAAGGGGAGACATTACAGGGGGGTCTTTCTTTTCTGTTCATCTGTTGTACGTACTAAGAACATGTAAAGTGTTTAACAGACAGAAGCATTAACTTCTTTTTTTCCTGAGATTCTTGCTTGTCCATTATAGGCATATGCTTCCTCTTCTATTAGCTGCAAAGTATACAATGCAAAAGAACCCTCCATGAGATGCAATTTTAACCTTTTTAAATGTGCCCTTCAGATTTTTAGACTAAAATTTGTTCTTTGGAACATAAAGTGGGTTGCTTGTAGGTAAGTCCATAAAAAATTATATTTTAGGTCTTTATACTTGAGATATTATTTGTCTAAAAGTCATTGTCATCGTATTTTAGTTGCATTTAGGACATTTCATACATGTGGTGGAAAAGTTTTGTCTCGGCTAATTTTTCTTTATAAAACTAATGTTGCTGATGAAAAGAGTTGTGTGTTGGCTGTGATGAAGCATATGATAAGAAATGACCGAGGAGGAAATTATTTGCCGAGACAAATTTCATGCGAGGGCCAAAGGACTAAAGATGATGTCTGTGAGGAATTTTTGTCATGACAAGTTTTATCTTGCAAATCTGACGCAGTACGAGACAAAATTGTTGACGTCGCGAGACTAGTTGTCTAATGCACCTCACGTGAACCCCTACCCCTGCTAATGATTTGGGACCACTACCATATGTCATATTATTCACGAAATGGGCATGAATTCAAGGTTAGATGGAGGATTTTCAAGGACTCTAAACCCTAAAAATTTCCCACTATAAATAGCACACTATGCTCACCATTTTAAAGAATCTCAATCTCACCTACCCTAAAAGCTTAGGAAAAGACGACTGCAACACCTTCTCCACCATTCCCTCTCGTCTTGGGTAGTGGCTAGGCCCTCGAGAGAGGCTAGCGCAATGGAGTAGTCATGGTGATGGTATGATGTCATGGCAACAACTCTGATTTTGGGAGTTTTCTTATTCTTGTTCTTTATTTCTTATCTTTTAAGGGTTATACTTAATAATATTTTGGGATGATTTTAGCCACACCATGAACTGCTTTATTTGGTGTTGGAGATGTTTGGATGATATTTTATTTTATGTTTAATGGATGATTAAATATATTTATATTTATTGTTGTTTTGTTCACTGTTTTAATCTTATGCCTTAGCATCGTAGGAGGTTTTGAGAGATTGTCTGGTGCATTAGCATAATAATCCTAGTCTTTGTAAGAGTTGTTGAGAGATAGTCGTTTTTCTAGGAGTTGATACCTAATATCGAGAGAGTTAGGTTAGATCTACATGAAAAAGGGAACCAATCTGGGATGATGAAGTTTTAATATTCCTTAGAGATAAGGAGAGAGTTTCAAGCGACTAAAAGAGATAATACTCAATCAATAGGCTATAGTCACTATTAACGCTAAGAGGTATTGTCGTGACAATAGTTGTATCAGGTTCCTTACTAAAGATAGCTTAGGAATACTTTAATAAATTATGTCGGGCAAAATAGGCATAACATACTTAGTTCATCCAGTAGAGCAAGCCACGCAAGTCCAACGCATTGCCCCAAATATACCTGAAAAAAGAGCAGCCAAAAAACAAATGATTACGCTACTCATCCGCAGAACCACAAAGAGAACAAAGACGTGCACTAGAGGCAATAATCCCCATCCTAGCAAGCCTGTCTCTAGTAACAAGACGGCCTAGAATAGCCAGCCAAACAACAACAACATGCCGAGGAATATGACCGAGAAACCATATCAATTTATGCCAAGAGACCCTCTCCGGCTTTTCATATATTTGGAGGATCCTTGAGGATCACGTTCCCATATCCATATATTGAACACAAGTTCTTCAAGAGAAATGAATATTCAGAGCAGTATAGCTTCCGGTCACATAAAAAGATTAATGCTTAACAAATTTCAGAACTAGTGAACCATGTGTGTCGAACCAGTGAACCATGTATGTCGAACCATAATGTCCTATAAAACTATACAATGAAACCCTGTGTAAGTTCTGTCTCCATTGGAGTAGTTAATCGGTGGTTTGATTAAAATTGCTCAAAGGGTAGCTTTTATAGTACTAAATTACGGTTTACGATGTTATGATGACTTCAAAAAATAATATGATACGAACGTTACACTGTAATCGTAATTTAATATAGCTTCTGATTGCCTCGTGCAGCTCGCTATGTATACTCGCTAAAACAACTGAACAATGAGGGGTAATGTGGTTAGACATGAGCTATAATGCATACAAAGGTTGCATTATTGTATATTGTAATAGATGGTTCACTTTTTCAAAAAAGAAAATAATAATAATAGATGGTTCACGGGTACACGTGGCAAACGCTGAGAACACCAATAGTATCCAACAACCGAATCGATATCGTTTCACTTCAAGATGAAAAATAAGGCTTTTAATCCTTCCTCTTTCGTTCCACAAAATTTTTATTTCTGGAAAAGGCAACAACAAGAACAAGATGGTGGGTGTTTGGGTGAGGTGAGAAGAAGACCGGCGGATGGAGTCAAACTCGAGGTTTGATAGTGAAGACTCTGGATTTAATTGGAGGCCTTCTTTTTCTCACAAGGTTCACCAAATCCACCACTCGTTGGGACCACGCTAAAATTATTGCTCGTTCTCTTAGCGGCGAAAAGGCTCTTCCTCTTTTTTTCATTGAAATTTTGAAGCTTTTCCATTACTTATATTTCATTTCATCTCAATTTCAGTTTTTCAATGGTAGTTCTCGCAGGAGCAAGCCTCTAGAAATCCAGATAGTTACTTCAACATCAGGTAGTAATAGTATGTAATAATTTATTCTATATAGGAAAAATGAAAGAATTTAATTTAGTTTTCATGTTTGTTTGATTGAGCTTGAAACCGTGCATCTTTAGAAACAATAAGTAATCATGTATTAGTTTAGCTTATGATTGATGTTATTATCAGCAATGGCTATTTGCCAATTTATGATTTTTCATTTTAAATACTGTTAAGTCGAGGAAAATTTATCATTGTAGAGCACTTGCTTGCCCTGCAACAGAGTTGGTGGATGTGTCAAAAGTTTTATATTCAGAACAGGTTTTTGGTTCAATCTTTCCTGTTTCAAAATCTTCGGAATATTCACCAATTTAGTGATCATCACTTTTTATGGACTAGGCATTTTGGCGGACTCCCCAAAAACCTTTCCGGCAGGTAATCGGTTTTGCGGAACGATAGACGATGCACCGGACACACAAGGATGGAAGTTTTGATTACATTATAGCTTTTATTCTAAACCTGTTTCCTTTGATCACATAACACTTTTTGGTGGAATGCCTTTACCTCATACGATGCTGACTGCCTTTTGGTTGCAGAGGATATATATGGTGAAACCTTGTCCAAAAGATTTGAAGTGCGATGTTGAGGTTCGTATCGGCTCGGCTTTATCATAAGATCTCATACTTCTGTCGAATGACAATCTCACTTATGTTTGAGGGTTTATTAACAACTTCACCTATACCAATTTGCTCTATGATTATTTCATATCTATTCGATCACCTGTTGCGTTCATATGACGCCTTTGGAAGTAGCAAGCATTTTGATTTCTAGCTTATGTTTTACGGCCACAGGTAAGTACTTGTGCAATTAGAGATGCGGATGAATACTAGAATTTCTGTGATCGTCCAAGGGACCAACGCCCGCTACCTGAAGAAGTTATCGGTGTATGCTTTTTCACATCATTATCTTTCATGCATGCCATGTATACGCCCGCTACGATCTTGACACGATCTACCTCGTATCCCCGCACTGGACGATTACTTTATTATGTAGTTAGTGCCAGATTTTTTTCTATCGTTTTACGAAATTCTTCTTTTGCTTTCCTACCAGAATGGAGCAACATACTGCACTTCAGAACTCTCGGTTTTGAAGAACAATGAGATACATACCTGGGATAGGGGTTACGACGGCGATGGAAATCAGGTGTCATTCGCAGTCTTCCACACACACACACACATACATACACATATATATATATATATATATATATATATATTTCTTTGTTAGGTTTGGGGAGCGAAGGAAGGTCCTTATGAGTTCGAGCCTGCACCGTTTACACCTCGGAATTTTGCGCCGTCGCAGACGTTGGAGAAGAGGATAGAGAGATCATTGTGTTGGAAGAATGATTGATGGTTTACATATATTCTTAATCTGTAAAATTTCAACTCCTTTACGTAAGCTTGAGTGAAGTTCCTTGGCTTTGCCCTTTAGAGGGATCATGCAGTGGACGATATGGGCTGAGATTATTTGATTTCATTCGACCGCTCAAAATTCCCAGAATTTTACTGCAAACCCTGTAGGATTCGCAGGCTTTCTTAATTACATTCAACCACGTCCACGATTGTTGCAGACCTGCATTAACATGGAAACCAAAAGACGGGCCATGAGTGTAGGCTTTAAATAAACCCCATTTTACAAATATAATAAATTTGAATGGAAGAATCATATATAACATATTTTTATAATATGTTCGTTTTTTTTTTTTTTAAAAAGTGTTTTGTCTGAATGGTACAGACTCAGTCAGAGGACGATGAATTCGTAGAATCTAGCAGACGAATGACGTGTCGTCTATGCATTGGTCAGACTGAAAGCGACCGTTCTGTTGACCGTAGTCTTTAATCGGACAGCTTTTGCCTGCAACACAGTTTTTTACTTTGCCGATGACAGTAAATAGAATTAATTTTTAAACTGAATTTTAATCTTAATTTTTTAAAATTGTCATTTGCAATTACTCACTTACCCCTTTTTCCCATCTTGTCTTAAACTGAAAGTCCTTTTCAGAATTACTGTACTCTGAAGCAGTAGCCGGGGGGAAAAAGCCTTTCAATTTATCAATTTCAAAGTAATATAAACAAGACGGTCCAAATATATATATATATATATATATATAAACGAGAATTCAATATTGGGTTTTTTTAAAGTTGTTATGTATTGTATATTAACATTAAAAGAGACCATGGGTGCGTTCGTATTTTCTAAAATTTTAAATTATTTTATAATTTTTATTAATTATCTAATTTTTTACCCCGTACAATTTTATAACTCTATACCACTCTATTTTAATATAACTTCTTTAATTCTAACCCTTAAACTAAATTTCTATGTTGATTCTTGATTATGGGTTTTTTCTCCTCAAAGGAGTTAGTTCACTTTTCTATTTATTGTGGTGTTTTGCAGTTATTTCTTCTATACTCATATATAATAAATATATATTTTATTTTTTTATATGATATATATATATATATATATGATATATAATACATAGTCGATGACTTGATCCATACTTGAAAACAATATACTGATTTCTAAAAATTTTGAGTTATATTTTATAACTGGACTTGAATTCGAATTTTTTTTCAATCAAGTTGAGTTTATGAAATCCCGACTTGAAATAGATTCAAGTTAAATTTTTCGAATCGAGTCGAAAAGATCGATTTTTCTAGTCAATACGAATTTAACTCACCTCTATCTTCAATTGCATTTCAACATCAATTGTGCCATCCAATGCTATTGCTCCTTCAAATTATTCATGTTTACAATTCAATCCTTTAAGGTATTCAAACAGTTTAATCGAGTTTTTTCACAACTCCCACCAAAATCAATCAAGGTGTTTCACACTACTCATCAGTCATCACCCGAGATAAGCCACAATAAGGCATCACCATAATACAATACATTATAGTTGTTGAAAGATTCCTTGATAATTATTATTTATTGTTTAATTAAGATTCTAGGAATGAGGCCTATGGATATATTATAAAATGTTTTTTATTTTATCAAATATAATTTAAAAACACAATAATATTTTAATTACACTAGGATAAAATTTTTATAACATAACGTGCCTAATATTAATACTATTTTTCCTAAAAGAAATTGAGCGCTTTTTCTTTTTGGTACGCGTTAAAGCAACCGAGTTTTGCATGTTGTCTTCTGCTTAACGAAATCAGACCAGACAAGTCCAACGAAGTTTTAAACCGAAAATCCTTGCTCAACCAGAGAAATCAAAGGAAGCGTTATCTGCTACTGCTCAGATGTACCCAAATTACCCTACGGATCTCTCTAATCACAAATCAAATGGCCCAAAATATTCCAACATTAAAGTCCTAAAAGACCTCATGCAGATCACCAAAAGTCTGCCCGTGCCTTCCCGGGGATCATCAGTCAGTCACTACGAGAAAAATCTAAACACTTTGGCGTCCAATTTTAATTGGTTACCTATGCAGAAACCGATGCAGTGTGGAAGGCAAATTGACCGTCCCCTGCTTCTTAGGTTCCAAACTGTCAACTTGGTTTCCCTCCAACAAAGCAAAACAAAATGGTTAATTCACCAGACGTCCCGTACTATCATCTAGACTCTAAATCAGTATTCAATTTTTAAAATAATTTAATTGAGTCCTGAATTATCAACATCATATAAATCAAATGTTTGTTAAAACAGAACGTTAAACATATTTTAACCGTGAATACCAAAATTATAAATTCAAATGTACTTATATATTAATTACTTGAATATGATATGCTAAAAAAGAAGTTATAACTCTAATAAGTTTTAATGTTATTATGTGTTTTTAATATATTAGTTACAGATTATTTATGTAATCGGTACGTATATGTTTAAAATTTGATATGCATAGTTAAAATATATTTTATGTCATGTTTGACTAGAGTTTTATCCTAAAGATGATGACTAACTAACATAATGATTTGATTAATACAATATTGAAACTTTTAGGACTTAATTAAACTATTTTTAAGTTTATGGATCCGTTTAGAATATATTCATGACTTAAGGATGCTCGACGAAATTAACCACGTAAACAAGAGGGTATTTTGGGGATTCCAAGTTTTCTTCTTTAAAGCGACCCACATCTTTAGATAGGAATGAAATTCTTCAATCTTCACTTCATTCGTAGACGTTGGAGAGAAAAGCGGAGAGCTTGATAACAGAAATGGACCCTGAGACTTTCGCTATCGGCAGCTACTTCAAGTGGGACCCAAGAGGAGTGTTGCCCCCAACGCCGGCGCGAATTATCGAGGCGGTAGCGACGGTGCCGCAACCGCACACGGCTGCTTGCATGGGAAGGCAGAGAGATGTCGGAGGACTAGAAGAGTTGTTTCAAGCGTACGGGATAAGATACTACACCGCAGCGACGATAGCCGAGTTAGGGTTCACAGTGAACACTCTTTTAGGCATGAAGGAAGAGGAGTTAGATGAGATGATGAATAGCGTGTCGCAGATATTCAGGTGGGAGCTGCTAGTCGGTGAAAGGTACGGCATTAAAGCCGCCGTCAGAGCTGAAAGAAGAAGGCTAGAAGAAGAGGAGTATTCAAGGCGAAGACACTTGGTTTCAGGTGACACCATCGCCATGGATGCTCTCTCCCACGAAGGTTCGTTTATCATTCAATACTTATTATAACCTTAGTGTTTTCTTTCTATTCTTTTGTTGTTGTTGGTTGAATTGAGTGTGCGACCGACAGAGTTATCGGAGGAGGCAGTTCAGCAAGAGAAGGAAGTGGCGGTGAGCGGCGGCACGTGGGATGCGGCGGTAGGCGGTGGAAAGAAGAAGATACGGCGACGGACTGGGAAGAAGAAGGTGATCGAAGTCGATCAAGAAAATGAATTAGAGGGCGGTGATGATGATGAAAATGGTGATATCGGCGGAGGCTGCTACGAGAGACAGCGAGAACACCCTTTCATTGTCACGGAGCCAGGGGAGGTAGCACGTGGTAAAAAGAACGGCCTCGATTATCTCTTCCATCTTTACGAGCAGTGCCGGGAGTTCTTGATTCAAGTCCAAAACATCGCCAAGGAGCGCGGCGAAAAATGCCCCACCAAGGTAATCAATAGAAGCAAACCAATATTTAGATCCGATTCTCAATTGAACAATATGAAACAAGGGTAGTTTTTGCATGGTGCACGAGATTTGACACGTGACTAGCCGTAAAAACATGGTTGGACGACCAACCCTCCCATTAAATCTAAAGATTTTCTAGTCGGTGAAAATGTGACAACTCAGGTACGGCGAGGAATGGGGTCTGAAAACTCGGGACCTGTATGTCCAAAGTTTTGCAGAGTAGGGTCCCCTCCGCCCCAAAGATTGTACTTTACTTTTGTCCTTAAACAATCAACAGTTATTTTTTGAGGCCCGTGTCCCTAACCGACAGCTCCACCATTTTTGGACCCTGACCTTGTTGTGTTCATACAGGTGACCAATCAAGTTTTCAGATATGCTAAGAAGGCCGGGGCGAGCTACATTAACAAACCCAAAATGCGACACTATGTGCACTGCTATGCGCTGCATTGCCTCGACGGGGACGCGTCTAATGAGCTGAGGAGAGCTTTCAAGGAGCGAGGCGAGAATGTTGGTGCATGGAGACAGGCTTGCTACAAGCCTCTCGTGGCCATCGCTTCTCACCAGGGCTGGGACGTGGATGCGGTGTTCAACGCGCATCCCCGTCTTGCTATTTGGTATGTTCCGACCAAGCTTCGACAACTCTGCCATCTCGAACGGAACAATGCCACGGCTTCTAGCTCCGTTTCCGGCGTCGCAAACAATTCCGCCACTTGTTTATATTGAGGGAAGAGAGAAAAGGGTAACTAGCTAGGCATTTGTGTTATGTGTGGAAAGTCGTATTCGAATCACAAACTTTAGTTAAATCGTACTGTATAATATCTAATATCTTAGTTGAATGGCATGATATCCATATGAACATGATAACCAAACACTGAAAAAAAAAAGAATGATAGAAGAATCAATTCATATACAACTAACAGAGGTAAAACCTCTGGGGAGTAGGGACCATTTTTCATTTCCATGGCTTCTTTTTTCCCTCATCAAGTTTCTGAAATCACACACAGGAAGAAAAAGATATCATCAGACAACCATGCAACATCATATATGACAACAATTCATTTAAGGATGAGGTCGAGTATTTTTTTTAAAAAAGAGTTCGAGTTCTGTTAGGGTCGGCAACATTTTCTTAGGATAAGGCCAGATTGAGTTCAAATATAGGGTGAAAAAACTCTAACCAAATTTATATGGGTTAAAAACCCGACCGACCATCTTTCCAAGGTTTTTTTGAGCCCAATATTTTAGGTGAGTAAATTATTTAGGGTATTAGGTCTACCCAAAAATTATTTTGATAAATTCGACATTTTTTACAGTGAACGCCGAACTCTTCATTGGGCCGAGCTTTCTCGGTATTAATTTTTAACTTTTACCACATTGTGGGCCATTATTTTAATTGGGTTTTAGTGACTCGTCACGTTGAGATGAGGAGTTCAATAAAAAATAATAATACTTTTAATATATATATATATAATTAAAAAAGAAAAAGAACTCATCACCTTGACGTGATAAATTCCTTCAAATTTAAAATTTCTAGTCATTGGTCAACATGCATTTATGAATCAACAGCCACATGGAACTTGATGAGTTTGGCCGGGTAAAATTAAAAAGAAAACGAAAATTAAAAGAAAATTGAATTTATTATTTTCCAAAATACAAAGTAAATAAATTTTTACAAGAAAATTAAAAAATGTATATATGTCTCCTAAGTTCTTGACGATGTCGAGGAGTTGTCGAATGATAATGTCGCGAGGTTCGTCGAGTACGTCGGGGTCGTAGGCCTTGGTCGTCGTCGTTTCTTCCGAGGAGCTGTGTTTAACCCACTTAGCGACCACCTTCAAAATGTGGTGATGGATTTATGACATTTGACGCCATCATCACCGTAACTGCTTTGACTTGGCTTTGGTAACCATATATGATATTGTCCCATTCACCTGCAACCACATGTTTTGTGGAAGATCCTTGGGTGTATTGTGGTGCATCCAGTGAACCTCTCACCCAATTCGGTCGAGTCTCGTCTGAAGCGTGAAATGGAGGATAGAAACCGAAATTGGCCTGGGATGCATGATAATACTCTTCGGCGACAAGTGCTGAAGCGAAAGCAGAAGATGACGATGTTTTCTTAATGGAGTTCGACTTGGTGCATCTGGCCTGATATTTTGCCATTATTCCCTTTCTTCCAGCGTCGTCAGATATGATTTCTCATTTGCCTCGTAATTTTGAAGATATGGACAATAGTCGAAATCGAGGTCCAGTGGTGTGATGTTCTGACGCGGGGGAGCAATTGGTTATGGTGATTCCATTGCTCAATGTAGGATGTGTGCTTTAGCGGCCAATTTTCGGTATGTTTTCCATACATATCGATTGTATGGAGCGCATCCATTTCAATCATAAGCGTAGGAATCGATTGGTGCGACCCAAACTGTCACATCATTCTGTCTGCGACATGCTACTCTATAAGCGCACAATGCAACAATAGTGTCACGACACACCATAAGTGAAACCCCTAAAAAAAATCCCACCGGCAATACATGTATGATATCCTCGTCGACGTACGGAAGCCATGAGAACTATAAATATTAAAGATCAAAGTTAGTATATATAAAGTTAAAAAGATTCAAAAATAATAATAATAATTTCGTATGTCATACCGTATATGGACCGACGATGTCGATCCTCATCCGTATGTCTCGTGTAGTGGCACCCGCAAACTTTGTCTCAGAGATTTTATGACGCCATCTAAAATATTTAAAAATAAAAAAAATATTATAAACAAGTAAAAAATAATTAAATTTACAAAATTCAAAAAAATAAATGAAGTTAAATAATTTCCTTGCAGCCCAACAGAAACTCGACCGGGGTTGTTCTAATTGGCGTAAAAAAGGGAAACAATACCAAGCCCAGGAATGTAGCAGTATCAGAAAACATGCTACATCGGTTTTTTGACCCAGTTGGACGATTGTGGCCTTGTAAAGCTCCCGGTAAAGAAAGGCCAAAATTGTCGAGCCCTGACTGGTATTACAACACACATCAAAGTCTTCTAAATACGCAAAATTACCGGATTTTTCTGATAATAATATCCCTTCGATCACTTGGAGAAGAAATGTTCGGGAGGCAAAACAACCTTCGCCTCAGTAAGCTTCTTTGTGACTTGGAATTTGGACTCCAACTAAGTTATCATCACTCGATAGTCCCTGATGACGTTGGATGGTGGCCATTTCCCCAAAACTTGATAAATCAATGTCGTGGGAACGTATATGTTCTGCGCAACCATAGGGGCTCAATTGACAGGAACACCAAGTTGGTAAGCGACGTCTTCCAAAGTAATTATCGCTTCACCATTAGAGAAGTGGAACATTTGCATATCGGGCCGCCAACGTTCGATTAGAGCCTCGATCAACACTGGGTACACCTTGAAGCCACGTAAAAATAAGGTTGAAAAAATAGAACAGATTGATGTAGATATGTCATCATCCGCTGATGCAACTCTCTGGTTGTCATCCCCTGACTACGAATACCCTATTCATCGTTGTTAGACACATGTTGAATCGACGAAACATGGGAGTTCTCCAGCTGCAACATATATTCTTGGGTTGCCTTTTTTTAAAATATTTTAACAGAACGTATGAATTTTTGCATTTTTTCGGATTCAGAGTTTGGTGAAAACCCAAAACCCCAAACACCTATTTATAACCTTACCTCCAACGACTATAAACGACTATAAATTTGAAATATCCAGCCAGACCTGTCACCCATGTGCTCGTTGCTGCCCGACTATCCGTTGACCAATGGCTAGAAAACGACTTGTAATTTTGAATTTGAAGAAACTCGATATCTCTACGTGACGAGTTCCCTTGTTTAAAAAAATAGATATTTTTTATTTTATTTTTTAAAAAAATATTATTTTTTATTGGACTCGTCACCTCGGCGTGACGAGTCATTAAAATCTAATTAAAATAATAGTCTACATGGGGCCCACAATGCAGTAAACATTAAAATTAATATCCGAGGGTGACGTGTTTGGTGTTTGCTTTAAAAAATATATCATATTTCTCAAAATAATTTCTGGATAGGCCTAATACCCTAAATAATTTACCCGCATGTGGTATTGGGCCAAAAAAGCCTCTTTCCAAATGTTAATCTATAAGTCTTAAATAACGGCCCAAACTATGTTTTATGCCGTGTTCAATGAACCAAACTATATTTTTATCCTGAACCATTCAGTTTGGGCATCTGTTCAAGGACACAGGGCCCAATTTGTGTTGGGAGTTTAGAATCAGGGATGAACCGAGGGGTTGGTGGTAGGGGTGTTTATTGTTCTGAAAAAACCAAAATAATTGATCGAATTGAAATTTCAGTCGGTTAATTTTGGGTTCGGTCGGTTAACGGTTACTGATTTTTTTTTCAAATTTCGGTTTGGTTCATTTGGTTCGAAATCGGTTAATTAACCGAATTATCCAAAATTATTAAATATTTAATATATATATATATATATACTATTTAGTTTTAGGGGTGTTTAAACTCGGTTTTAACCGAATTAATAGACTGGATTAACCAAATAAAGAAAAATATTAAATATATATTATTTATAAATTTCGGTTAACAGATCAATTAACCGAACTTAATTCGGTTCGATAATTGTTTTTGAAAAATATCGGTTCTATTAACGGTTAAAGGAAACAATATTTCAGTTAATGAAATTTACGTAATTAGGTTTAGTTGGTTAACCGAATTACTTGTTTAAACACTCTTAGTTGGTGGGGTAGTCTTCATCTGAGAATTTAAAATTATTATTTATTTTAATTTTTTTTATGTATTTTCTACTTAAAATTTGTTATTGTGCTCACATAAATTTTATAAGTTAAATTTCGCCACTTAACCTAAAGTCCTACATCCTTTTGTTTAGAGCCCTAGTGATAACCATTCTATTTTCCCTATTACCGGATTTTACATGTTCGATTTCACATATTCAAATCTCGAATTATTATATATAAAATTATATGCAATTTTTTAAAAATTATTTTATTTTATTTTTGTATTTATTCATTATCCTTATTGTAATTAAGATGTATCATCTTTATATACAAAAGAAGAACATGGATATATTCATAGATGATTCTTCTATATTCGAATAATAATGATGAGCACCATTAATTTAATTTATAAAATTTAAATATTACATGAGTCAACATATAATTATAAATTAGTTAAAATTTTAAAGACAAATTATTTAAAATAAAGGGTAAACTATACCAGTGACCACCTAACTATTGCCCTTTTCATTTTGATTAATATTTTTGAAATTTTGTCAATCATGTCACTCAATTATTTAAATGCATTCAGTTAAGCCACTTAACGTTAATATGTAAAGGAGAAACTAATATGGCAATTAAAATATTTGGTATAATTACACATTTGGTCATTGTTACTTCTATATTCTATCAATTTGATCATAATTTTAATAAATTAAAATAAACTTAACCCTCAAGTCAAATAGTATCATGTATAATGACCCAAAATTTAACTTTTTATTTTAATTTTAAAAGTTACGAAATATTCTATATTTATAACAAAACTTTTTTCTAAAAATTGAATAACTCAAGCAATAATTTATGATATTAAATTTAAAACAAACTAAATTTATCGTCCTTTTGATATAGGTCAATCTCTTAGTGCAAAATATTTCACGCTAAGTCCACCGAGAATCTTATCAGTATAAACTTTTATTGAAGATGAACATAAAATTTTATGGTAGGAGGTGAATTTTTAAAATTTTAAAGGAAGATTGCGTCAAACGTG